CAAGTTTCGTGGCTCCATGGGGAGCTCCACCGAAAACCCACGTGACTACGATCGCATGGCACCACCGCACCAATTCCGGCACACGGTTCACGTTTCGCGGCCCCATATGGAGCTCCACCGAAAGCCCCAGTGGCTGCGTTCGCATGGCACCACCGCACCTCGCACGTTTCGTGGCCACATGGGGAGCTCCACCAAAGGCGCCAGTGGCTGCCCTCGCATGACACCACCGCGCCCATGTCGGCACGCCCCCCAGACGTCTCGCGGCCCCACAGGGAACTCCACCGAAAGCACCCGCGGCTGTGTTCGCATGACACCAGCGCACCCATATCGGCACACTCCTTAAACGTTTCGTGCCCCCACAAGGAGCTCCACTGAAGGCCCCAGTGGCTGCGCTCGCATGGCACCACCGCGCCCCATTCTGCACACCCCTCGCGCGCTTCGTGGCCGCACGAGGAGCTCCACCGAAGGCTCCAGTGGCGAAGCTCGTAGGACACTGCCGCACCCACTTTCGACAGACCCCTCAGACGTTTCGTGCCCCATAAGGAGCTCCACCGAAGAGAATACCAACAATTGCATTATTCACAACTGCGTATGGTTGGGCCCCCTCGCCCGGGTTTGACTCTGCGAGTGGATAGCGAAGAGTCTCAGGCGGGACCCCCCCAATGGGGCCCACGCGTCACGTTGGTAATCCGAACCGGTCATCGGCGAATTCCACGAAGCGTAGCACTTGAACAACTCAAAGGGGCACACCAAGAGTCGTCCCTCACATGTGTGTGATTTGCAAGGAAGTCCCCGGCAGAAGCCCCCTCCCTGGTCGCATGTCGTTCGAGCGCTTCGACAAGAGAGCGGTGGACTCCAGGGCTGAGGCGGCGCAGCTCGCGGCAAAGCTGAATTTCGTGTTGTCTCCCGTGTGCGCGCGGCCGCGACTGACTCGGTGCCAGCGGGGTCGTCCCAACGGCTTGCTCCCGCGCCCCAGCGGCTCGCGGGGTTGTCCCAGCGGCCGTTGCCCCGACGGCTTCGCGATTCTGCCATCGGGGATCGCGCCCCTGTCGGGCGCGGTGGCGATGGCTCCGAGGAAAATACGCATGCGCCCCCAGTCCATGAGGAAGGAGAGGTGCATGAGGAGAGCAGGCGGGATGGAAACGAGGGGGGGGGGGGGGAAATACATGGAGGTGGTGGCGGAGGAGGAGGAAGAGGAAAGTATAATAAAGGAAGCGATACATTAACGAAGGAGGGCGAGCAGGAGGAGGAGACGGAGGACGAGGAGGACAAGGGGGATGTAGGAGGAGGCGCAACAAATGGCGAGAAGGGGGGCGTCGGCCAGGGCGAAGAGGAAAAGGGCAAAAGGCAAAATACATAGATTGGCGCGCGGGGTCCTACCAGCGGAGTAACGGTTGTAGTCCAAGCGAGTCATCGGGATTCTGGAATCGTCGTCAAGTTTGGGCCCCTCCGGCGTGAATATGGAGGAAACTTCGGGCGGGACTCTCGATTGTGAGTGCATTGCGAGGAAGTCTGTCGCGCCTACGGGCCCCGCGCCACGTGTTTCAACTCGGGCGGACGGGTCGTCAGGATCCTGTAACTGTCATAGTGTTTGGATTCCTGCAGCTTGAACCCCGGAATTATCTCAGGCGGGGGAGTTTCGTTTGTGAGTGCGTTGCGAGGAAGTCTCAGACGGGAGCCCCTCGCCTATGGGTCCCGCGTTCAACGTGTTGATCCGGACTGGGTCATCGGAGTCTTGTTGCAGTCGTCGTTTTGGGGGTATTCAGGCTTGCATATGGGGGAAGTGTCGGGCGGGAACTTCGTCTATGATTGCATCGCGAGGAAGTTTATGCGGGAGCCCTTTTGCTTACGGGTCCCACACTTCACGCGTATAATCCATGCGGGTCATCGGGAGTTTGTACTTGTCGTCGGTGTGAGCTCCTGCGGCTTGAAAGTGGACAAGGTATGAAGCGAGAATCTCGTTTGTGAGTGACTTGCGAGGAAGTCTCAGGCGAGAGTTTTTTTACAAAACCATGTTCATCCTATCGAGCCATCGGAACCGTGCAACCGTCGTCACCTTGAGGCTCTTCAGGCCTGAGTGCGAAGGAGATCTCAGGCGGGACTTTCGCTTAAGCGTGGGCGCGAGGAGCTCTCAGGCGAAAGCCCCGTCCCCATTGGGTCCCACCATGTTGGCAATCCGAGCGGGTCATCGGAATCCGGTACTCGACGTCATTGTTCGGCTCTTCTGGACTGAAGATGGAGGAACTCTCACGCGGGGGTTTCGTCTGTGAGTGGGCAGCGAAGAAATCTCAAGCGCCCCCCCCCCTCTCTATGGGACCCACGCTTCACGTTGGTAGTCCGGGCTGGCCATCGGCGAATTCCACGAGGCGTAGCACTTGAGCAACCGAAAGGGGCACATCAAGAGTCGTCCCTCACATGCGAGCGATTCGCAAGGAAGTCCCAGGCGGAAGCCCCTCACTGGTCGCATGTCGCTCGAGGACTTCGACAAGAGAGCGGTGGACTCCGGGGCTGAGGCGGCGCAGTTCGCGGCAGAGCTGAATTTCGTGTTGTCTCCCGTGCGCGAGCGGCCGCGACTGATTCGATGCATGCGGGATCGTCCCAACCAACGTCTTGCTCTCGCGCCCCAGCGGCTCGCGGGGTTGTCTCAACGGCCGTTGCCCCGACGGCTTCGCGATTTTGCCATCGGAGAACGCGCCCCCTGCCGGGCGCGACGGCGATGGCTCCGAGGAACATGTCCATGCGCCCCCCAGCCAAAGACCAGAAGGACAAGGATAGTGTGAAGAAAGCGATCAGGATGAAGAGGAGGCGCAACAGAGGGTGGGACGTGGGTTTCGGCAGTGGCGAAGAGGGAATAGCGAAGGGCAGCATACATTGATTATCGCGCAGGGTCTTACCAGCGGAGTACCTACAAAAAAGTAGTGCGGATTCGCCCTCGGAGACCGGTCGTCGATTTATCAACGATGAAAATCACATTCCAGATCAAGGTTCCATCTGCGAGCCAAAGTTTACCCGTCGTTAGGTTTCAGGGGGGGGGCGGCGGGGCCAAAGGTCGGAAACATGACAAAGGGATACAGGAGGGTGCGGGGGGCCAGCGCGGTTTTTCGGCGGGGCGACGTGACAAGTTTGTGGAAGTGGTTGTTGCCATGTTCGGATGAGGCGGCGGCGGTTGCAGAGCGGAAGCCAGGACCGCGGGCTGTGCGTGTGATTTGGGGAATTGTTGATCGTTTTTGTGCACTCGCGTGGCAAAGGGACGTACTAGCTCAAGGGCGTCGGGATGTTGCGGCAGAGGGGTTCAAGGGCAATTAAATTTGTGGGCGGATGGTTTTTTTCGGGAGGGGGGTTCGGAAACGGGCGGAGGCAACGGGGAAGAGGCAGCAATCACGGCGAATTGCAGGCGGCAGGCCAGGCGGAGGTCAGCGGCAAGAGGCCGCGCCACGCCGGGCGAGTGCGGTGGGATTTGAAAGAAAAAAAGGTACCGGTACCGCCACCAATCTGTCGTTTTCGCCTTTTTGGGCCCCCTAGGAGGCCCTCGTCGCCCACGGCTGGGCTCGCCCCGCTATCCTTGCCGTAAGTGCCCTTGGAGAATTCCGAATTCTTTACGCTTCGCGTATCCCCACCAGCCCATCTCACAGCAGCAACTCTTGCGAAACATGCCGACAGTCGTGTTTTTCAGGCGTGTGTCCGCTTGGCCCCGCATATCTCCCCTGTTCCTCCTTCCTCCCGCCTCCTTGTACATCCCCCTTGTGGGGGGAGCGGGAGAAGGACGAGGCGGAGGAGGAGGAGAGAAAGCGCTCCTCGTGATTTGAGTCGTTTTGGGTTTCTCGTCCTGGTGTGAGTCGTTCGGGCCCTTCTTCCTAGTGTGAGTCGTTCGGGCTCTTCGTGGTGTGAGTCGTTCGGGCTCTTCGTCCTGGTGTGAGTCGTTCGGGCTTCTCGTGGTGTGAGTTGTTCGGGCCCCTCATCCTGGTGTGAGTCGTTCGGGCCCCTCCTCCTGGTGTGACTCGTTCGGGCTCCTCGTGGTGTGAGTCGTTCGGGGCCCGCGTCGTGGTGTGAGTCGTTCGGGCTCCTCGTGGTGTGAGTCGTTCGGGCGCCTCGTCCTGGTGTGAGTCGTTCGGGCCCCTCCTTGTGGTGTGAGTCGTTCGGGCTCTTCGTGGTGTGAGTCGTTCGGGCCCTTCGTCCTGGTGTGAGTCGTTCGGGCTCCTCGTGGGGCCTCTTGGGGGCCTCTTGGAGCCTCTTGGGGCCTCTTGGGGGCCTCTTGGGGGCCTCTTTGGGGCCTTTTGGGGGCCTGGTGGGGCCTCTGGGGCCCTCTTGGGGGCCTCTTGGGGGCCTCTTGGGGGCCTCTTGGGGCCTCTTGGGGGCCTCTTGGGGGCCTCTTGGAGGCCTTTTGGGAGGCTCCTGGGGGCCTCTTGGGGCCATCTTGGGGCCTCTTGCGACCTCCTCAGAAGCGTAAAGGAGCGCTGCCCCCTGAGAAGGACAAAATGAGCCCAACACTTTCGTAAAATCAATGATTTTGCTATGAGGGACGATGAGCGCGGCCCCCTCAGGACGCCAAGTTGGGGCCCAAACCCTCGTAAAATCAATGTTTTTGGTTTCAAAGAAGAGCAGAGGGGCCAAACTCCCTCCCCCCCTCGGGGCCAGAATCCTCGTGAGGGTAGTCGTTTTTTGGCCCTCCCAGGAATCGAATAAGACCCCCCTGACACCACCCCGGACTCCCTGTCCAGGTCCTGGGGGAGGGGAGGGGGTAGGGTGTGAATCTCAGGTAGATTTCTAGGGTTCTTTGTGACCAGAGTTCCCGACCCCGTTTCCGTCCTGTTCGGGTCCACGGAGCTCTCGAACCCATGTGCAACCACCCGCACGTGCTCTGTTTTACTGTCCGTAGCCGTCCGGCTTATAGCCGGGCCAAGAGGCCTTTTTTTGGTGATTTTGATTCATCGGTCCGAAGCTCAGGGGGACCGCTCGAGATAGAAAGCAAGTTTCTCTCATCGTTTCTGCTGCATATCAAGCTCTTCGAGCTCGACATCTCCGCCTACTGGCACAGCCCTGAGGACCAGCTCCTAGAGGTTGAGAGGACCAGCTCCCAGAGTCTGTGAGGATTTCTCGAGGTGAAAGGCTGAAGATCCGTGGAAGGCACGCTCCACTGACATTGGTAGCCCGACGAAGTGGCAGCCCACTTCGAGGTCGATCTCCAAATCGTGATGGCGAATGAGCAGCAGTCCGGCATCAAGATTCCTGTGTGGAATGGTGAGGCCTCCACTTTAGAGAGCTTCGAGGAAAAAGTGAAGCTGTGGGTCCTGGGCACGAAGAAGGATGACAGAATCTACCTCGGCCCGCGCCTGGTTCAGGCGATGGACGAGGACTCGCAGCAGTGGTTCGAGGCGAAGAAGGTGTCGCTCGATGACCTTGTCAAGGAGGGCGGAGCTGAAAAGGTCGTGGAGGCACTCAAGGGAGTTCGAGGCACGGTCACGATGCAGGAGGCTGTGTCCAAGTGGAGAGAGTTTATGCGTGGAGTGTATCGGCATCCAGGTGAAGGTCCGAAGCGATGGGTCTCTCGTTTCGACATCCACCTGAGCAAGATCGGGAAGGCCCTCCACGCAGTCTGTGATGAGATTCCAGCCCAGGGTTCCATGCACGAATTCATCTTAGGGCTGATCCTGCTGGACGGGACGGGCCTAGATCCGTCAGAGCAGGCCGCGGTGCTGGCGACCAGCGGCCCCAAGGGCAACTCGTACCTCTATCAGGACGTGAAGAAGGCACTGGCTGAGCAGTGGTCGGAGGAGCAGCTGGCATCGCGGGACAAGCAGAAGGGATACAAGGCCAGAAAGGGCGCTCATGCGGTCTTCGACGACGCCGACGAGCTTGCCGCCTACGCCGAGGAGGTCTACGACGAGGCGTACATCGACGGGTTCGAGGAGGCGGCGGACATCACGGAGTCAGCGATGACGGCAGCCGAAGACCTGATGACTGCCGCGCTCGGTGAAGAGCCCATAGGAGACGAGGAGCACGGAGAGGATGCGCTGGCAGCGGCGGCCTCGACTCACGAGACGAACGAGTGGACGGAGACGGCCTTCGCGGCTTCGAGGACGTTCGTGGAGGCGAGGATGCTGATCAACGAGGTCAAGAACGCCAGGGGCTACTTTCCAGTGGTAGGCCTGGGTGCCTACGACGCGCTCCCGACTCAACCCGCCGCTGGAGCTGGACGCGGACGGGCAGTGAGCCGGGGCGGGCCACCTCGCAAGGGCAAGGGCAAGGATCGAGGCGGCGTGGCAGGCCGCGGCAAGGGTCGTGGTCAGAGTCAGAAGCGTCCAGCAGCACCTCCGAAGGACTCGAACTCGGGGACCAACGACAAGTTCAAAGGGGCTTGCCTGCTCTGCGGCGGGCCGGGCCACAAGGCAAGGGACTGCCCCAATCGGGGCAACGGCGGCGCCCAAGGGGAGAGGCGCCGGGCTTTCAACAGCTTCGTCGGCGCGGCCGACGGCTACAGCAAGAAGGTCGAGTTCGAGGACGTCCAGGACGTGTTCATCGGCACGGTCAACGACGAGGGCGAGTCCAAGGACGGCGACGAGGAGGGGCTGGACGAGTTCGTGGCCTTCAGCATGGACGACTGCAAGGGCTGCGCGTTCCTGGACGGTGGAGCGTCCAGGTCTGTTGGAGGCGTGGAGCAGCTAGAGTACGCGAACGAGCGCCTGAGCGAGCCCATGGAGGTCAGCCCGGACAAGAGTCTGGGATTTTCATTTGCTGGAGGCGACCGGGCCGACGCACCCTCACGGGTGACCTTCAATGTGAAGGTCCTGAACGACGAGGCGGTGAGCATCTACGTGCTGGACCGTCAGTCTCCGGTGCTACTGGGAATCGATATGCTGAAGAAGTACGGGCTCGTGATCGATTACTTCCACAACACCGTGTACTCCCGTCGGTTCAAGCGTGAGATCCCCACGAGAGTGCTCCCGCCAGGTCACTTGGCACTGAATCTTACTGCTCTGGGCAACGAGGCCTCGAGCGCAAGCAGCGAATAGGGACAGCACCCTGGTCGCGGCAATGAGACTGTGGAAAAGTCGTCGTCCAAGTCTGTCGCCACCAGGGGCCCCAAAGACGCCAATGAGCTCCCCCAGATGCTCCAGAAGTTGCTCGAGGTCAGTGTCTCCATCATGGGCCCCTACCCCGAGCTAAGCCAGTCCATGCTACAACCTATTATAGGGCATCTCTGGGAACGGGCTGACTGGAAAGAAGGTGCGAGAGCGAGTCGGGATATATGGGTCGACTGCTCACACGCTCTAGTTCGGGTTCATCATCGGGCTCGTTTTCAAAGGTGTGACCTTCGAGATTTTGAAGCTCTTAGTTTAGCCAGCTTATCGGGGAAACGCCACGCTCATATGATTCGAGAGGACGGGGAACCTATGATGATCATCGAGAGCCTACCGAATAAAACAGCTCGGCAAGTCGAACATTCGAGATGGGTCGGTCTCACTATCTACCCAAGATCCTTGTGTTCGAGAACCGTTTTGGCTCAAGAAGTTCAACGAAGCAGGTCTCAGATCGAGAGCGCGTTCCAGGCCGATGCCGAGATGCGCCCATCGGGATCAGACACGTCAGGGGTCCAACCATTTCGTGGACCTGATCAAGTGCAGGGACTGTGGGGAGATCCTGTTCAAGCACCACTTCGCGAAGACGAGCGACCAGATGCTCCTCCAGTGTGTGCGCTCCATACAGTGCATCAACCGCCTGGAGACCACGGGCACGGCCCAGCCCGCGTCGCCCATGGTAAACCAGTCGAGCTCCTCGGACAGCGAGGCCATGACGGCGACAACGGCGCCTACGTCAAGGCCTCCACCGAGCCCTCCAGGGGCTCCCAAGAAGCTGCCCGAGCGCCTGTCGGCCGAGGTGATTCGGAAGCTCACGGACACGGAGGTGCAGCAGATCATCGAGAGCGAGAGGATCAAGATCCGCCTGGAGGAGCAGCAGCGCCTCGCGCAGGAGATCCTCCAGAAGGGCCTCATCGATACGCCGACGGACCAGCCGGAGGCGGACGACAGGACCAGGCCGAGCAAGAGGCAGGGCGTCGGCCAGATGCCCAAGGCCGAGTCGATTCCCGTACCGGAGGTTTTGCCGAAGCCGTCAGGAATGCCGAGGCCAGAGGATCTGCCGACCCCGTCGGGAATTCCGAGGCCAGCCGGAGACTTTCATCTCGTGTGAAGAGCTGTGTACTTGGAGCGCTGATCGCGGCGACGACAGCTCTGGGAAAGATGCCGGGCACCGCCTGGGAGGCAGCCGAGACCTATGGTAGGCTGGACCTCGCAGAAGTGGCCTGCGTGTCCGACTCCAGGCTCACGCACGCGATGATCGAGCAAGGAGGCAAGGCCGAGAGATTCAGCAACTGGAACGGGTATGACTTTTCCACCAGGTCTGGTGCAGAGAAGCTCGTGAAGGCGCTGCGGGTCAAGAGGCCTCGAAGAGTTTGGTTTTCCCCACCGTGCGGAGCAGAGTGCCCATGGCAGAATCTGAACCCCGTAACGGCGGAGTCAGAGAAGAAGCTGATCAATACCAGACGTATCCAGAGGAACGTCAAATGGGCTATCGGTCAGCTGCTGAACGAGGGTTTCTGTGACATATACCTCGAGCAGTCAGGACGCTGCAGGTCTTGGACAGGCAACTTCAAGGAGCTCAAGGAGTCCATGCACGGCTGCAGGATTCACGGGTGCATGTATGATATGAGAGACGAGCAGAACGGTCTCCTCATACGCAAGGACTGGCACATCGCGACCACCGACCCGCAGTTCGAGAAGAAAGTTGGGAGGATCTGTCCAGACCTACATCTGCATATGCCGCTGGAGGGCGGCACGAGAGTGGCTCTCTCAGCGAATTATCCCGTGAACATGTGCAGGAGGATCGCCCAGCACTTCATGACCAGGGCCACCTCGGACGAGGCCCTCGCCTATCTGGTGCAGGCCCACAACGAGCTGGACGACGAACTGTGCGCAGCGGGCTACAGGCGATTGCGGGAGAAGCGGCCTGCCTCTGAGGGGCCACCACCGCCGCCGCCGAAGCGTCCAACGCTGGAGCCCACAGCTCCTGAAGGTCAAGGAGAAAGAGCAGGTGGACCAGTGCCAGCTCCTGATCCTGACGACCCTGGAGATGCTCAAGGTCCTCCAGAAGGCGAGGAGCCCCTGCCGACGCCCGAGTCGGGAGGTCAAGAGCAGTCGGTGGGCAATCTCAGACTGCCACTGCCAAAGAGTGTCTTGAGCTGTACCAAGACAGAGTTGCGAGAGCTGGAGGCCATCATCGCACATATCCATCGGAATTTCGGACACTGCAGTATGAGCACGGTCAGCGCCGCCCTCAGGTCTCGCAAGGCGGACCAGAAGCTCATTGATCTTTGCAGCCACTACGAGTGTCCGGCCTGTAAGGCAGCTCAAAGGTTTCAGATGCGACCTATTGCCAGCTCAGAACCGACTTTACCCGCTCCTGGTACTGCAATGGGTTGCGACAACTTCTATTGGACACATCCTCGACGAGCCTACCAAGTTCGTGGGACCCTCTGTGCAGATTATGGCAGCTGTTTTACCCAGACATCGATTCATTGTCAGAAGGGTGTCGAGGAGCATTGTGGCAACACCACCGCGAAGGAGATGAAGGAGGTAGTGCTGAAGGACTGGATCCACCACTACGGCAAGCCGGAGGTCTTCAGGACAGATCCCGAAGGTTGCTTCAGGCAGGTCGAGCAGCGCGCCTGGGTCTCGGGCAACGGCATGGAGTGGAGACCAGAACCCGGAGAAGCTCACTGGCGAATGGGAGTGATCGAAAGATGTATCGAGACAATCAAGGAGATCGCCACTCGCCTCGCCTGGGAGCTACCAGATGACACCGAGCCCGCGGACATCTTTCGCTGGGCTTGCGTGGCCAACAACGACCTGATGCGACACCAAGGCTACAGCCCGATGATGCTCATGATGGGCCGTACCCCGTCGGAGCAGGGCTTAGAGCAAGTGGAGAATCCTTCAGTCCTGAGCGCAAATGTGGTGGACAAGCATTTTCAGGAGGTCACGCGCATCAAGGCGGCTGCTTACAAGGCGTGCGTGGACCACTACCTGTCGGAGAAGACGAAGCGCGCTCTGCTGGCCAAGACGAGGCCGTTCAAGACATGGGAGCCTGGTGAGAAGGCGCACTACTGGCGAGGTGCGAAAGGTAACAGCCACAAGACTCGGCCAGGTATCGCTGGTCGATTTCACGGTCCCGCCACTGTCTTGATGCAGGAGCGCGAGATGAAGAATGGAGTTGCGGTGCGACGAGGAGTTGTCTGGCTTGTTGACGGTGACCGTCTTGTACGAGCAGCGGCCGCTCACCTCCGCACGACTACGAAAGCGGAGCAGACCCTGGAGAGCATCTCCGCAGGGAGCTCCGACCACTTCAAGAAGATTCTGCAGGAGTTGACGAAGGGTGCTTATGATGATGTGGTGGATCAGCCTGGTCCGGGAGAATGGGACGATATTCCAGAAGGAGAGAATGGTGAAGTACCGGACCCACCCAGGACGACAACTCCAAGAAGTACAGCATTTCTTCAACCTGACGATCACGAAGGTGAAGCGGGGTCGGGCTCGAGTGACCACGAAGGGGCCACGCCTGAGGCCACACCGCCTCCGATGCCCGCACAGAATCCAGCTGAACCAGCACCGACGCCGACCAGCGACCAGATCGACGAGAGCGAACCACCACCAGAAGGTTACAACAAGCGGGAAGCCAGCCAGGAGCCTCCTGGAGATCCAGAACCCAAGAGACATCGCGCCGACTTCGCAGGATACTTGAGCCATCTGTGCCAGAAAGTACCGACACTTGTCATGCCCGAGCTCGGTCGTGCCGAGCCCGAGTCTGAGAGCAGTGCGAGTTGGATCTCACCCTGGGAGTATGATCAGCAGACGAAGGCTTCCGACCTGGTGGGTTTCGTGGGCGAGGACGAGCCGAACCTCGCGATCATGATCGGCTTCGCGCTGGAGGAGTCGGATGTGGATCAACTCAGCCGGAGGCCTGACAAGGCCCTCGCTGCGATGGTCAAGCAGAACAAGGTCGAGGTGAAGCTCAAGAACCTCACGGCAGAGGACCGTGAGAAGCTCCCGATCGCGAAGGGTAACGAGATCAAATCTTTCCTCAAGTATCGAGTTTGCGAGGCGGCCAGTCGTGCTGGAGTACACCCAGGTGCTCTGATGAAGATGAGATGGGTCATTACAAGGAAGGAGACTGGCGACCGCAAGGCTCGGTTGGTGGTTCTTGGCTTTACCGATCCGGGACTTGGGCGGATCAAGACCGCTTCCCCCGCATGCAGTCGTCGGGCTCGCCAAGCTTTCCTGGGCGTCTCCGCCTCGATGGGCTTTCAGGTCTTCAAGGGCGACGTCAAGGCAGCTTTCCTACAAGGCGACCTCGGAGAAGAAGATCGAAATGTCCTGGCCGAACCCGTCAAGGAACTTAGGGAAGCCATGCGACTCGAGCATCACCAATGTGTCAAGCTCAAGAAGGCGGTCTACGGTCTGGTGAACGCTCCTCGCAGATGGTGGACAAGAGTTCGCAGGGATATGGCCAAGCTCGGCTGGGTGGAGTCTACGACCGAACCTTGCCTGTGGTGTTTACGAGAACCTGGAGGACAGCTCAGAGGTCTGGCCGTAGCCCACGTGGACGACTTCATGATCGCGATTGACCAGCACTCGGACTTCGCAGTGGACGCCCTGCAGCAGCTCCATCAAGCCTATGAGTGGGGAAGCTGGGAGACCCAGGATTTTGTTCAATGCGGGACGCGTATCCGACAAGAATATGATGGACGCACAAAGTCGTGGGGCCGTATCCATCTGACCATGATTGACTACGCCCAGGAGCTCATAGAGATAGATATTCCCGCACATCGACGTCGCGATCCCGAGCAGCCGGCGACACCGTCAGAAGCTACCCGCCTGCGAGCTGCCTTTGGTCAGCTCGTGTGGTTAGCTACGCAGGGCGTGCCCCTCGTCGGGGCAGAACTGTCACTGCTGCTGGCATACAGTAACTCCGCAACCGTGAATACTCTCCTGCAGGCCAACAAGCTCATCAGGCGCACCAAGTTCGAGGCGACCAAGGAGCTCATCATGGAGAAGCATGCGACTCCGTGTGTGGTCGGCTATTCGGACGCAGCCTGGAATGTTCGACGGGATGGTTCTTCACAAGGTGGTTTCTTGATTTTTCTGACAGATTATACCTTGATGCAGAACCGAGAGGCGCCGATCTCTCTGCTGGCTTGGGCATCTGCAAAGTTGCCGAGGGCGTGTAGGAGCTCGAGTGCGGCCGAAGTACAGGCCGCCAGTGAAGCTCAAGAGGAACTGGAGTTCTGCAGGCTGCTGCTGAGCGAGATCCTGCTGGGACCAGCGCCTCTGAAGCAGTGGACTTCGAGCTGTGCGAAGATTCCTGGTGCCCTGGTCCTGGACTGCCGCGGCGTGTTCGATGCCCTGGATCGGTCAGAGAGCAGCGCTCTCGGCATGAAAGACAAGAGGAGCGCGCTGGAGGCCCTGGCCCTCAAGCGCGGCATGGCCGCCACGTCGACATCCCTGAGGTGGTGTCACAGCGGTGCGCAGCTGAGCGATTGTATGACCAAGAACTCGGAGAAGGCTCGTGCCAGCTACAACCTGTGGCTACAGCGAGGTACCTGGAAGCTGATATACGATGCTAACTTCATCTCCGAGAAGCAGAGGAGACAACGAGGACTGCAGACACGAGACCAGGCTACATATTTTGCAGTCGATGACGATGATGCCTGGCAGTTGTACCCTGAGGATTTGGAGATCGAGGAGGAGGTAGATATTCCCCAGGACTTCCGACTCCCGGAAGCGGTGAGCGTGATGAGACATGATGCTACCTCTGTGCAGTAGCCTACGCCACCTAAGGGGAATATTCTATGTGTGTACAACAGTTCTTTCTCACTCCCCCCTGAGCGTGAAATAACGTTAACATTTAAACAGCCGGCCGTACAGATGGTTCGGGGCATGTGAATCTCAGGTAGATTTCTAGGGTTCTTTGTGACCAGGGCTCCCGACCCCGTTTCCGTCCTGTTCGGGTCCACGGAGCTCTCGAACCCATGTGCAACCACCCGCACGTGCTCTGTTTTACTGTCCGTAGCCGTCCGGCTTATAGCCGGGCCAAGAGGCCTTTTTTGGTGATTTTGATTCATCGGTCCGAAGCTCAGGGGGACCGCTCGAGATAGAAAGCAAGTTTCTCTCATCGTTTCTGCTGCATATCAAGCTCTTCGAGCTCGACATCTCCGCCTACTGGCACAGCCCTGAGGACCAGCTCCTAGAGGTTGAGAGGACCAGCTCCCAGAGTCTGTGAGGATTTCTCGAGGTGAAAGGCTGAAGATCCGTGGAAGGCACGCTCCACTGACATAGGGGGAGGGGTAAACCCCTCCCCGAAGGGGAAGAAGGGGGGGTGAGAACAGAGCGGGCTCTCTAAACCACTCACGCCCAAAGGGCTGGTGGGATTTTTTCCTTCGAGGGTCGGAGGCGACCGATATGGGGCAATCCGGGGGCGTGCGCCACGAAGGGCTTTCTGCGGGCAGGGCGTTGGGCGTTGCGGGCCGCGGC